CTTCTCCACCCCTCCCCCCTGCAGCTGAGCGCCACGCCCCCTCCACATACACATTGAAAACATCTAGCAGGAAAATCCAAAATATCGACTGGCCTTTAAAACAATACATTAAGCCAAATATATACAATATTTGTGCTAAAATTACCCCTTTTAAAATACAAAGCACAGCAGGCATCTTTTATGGCACGTCCATAAAGCTCAGCCATCTTTAAATAGGGCTCTAAATAGAACAAGCAGTTTTCACAAAACAAAAGGAGATTAAAGCGGATAAAAGATGCAAGCATGGACATCAGAAAAGAACACATCACAGTGAAGAGTGATTAAAATATACTTTATGTGGAGAAATGAGCATGGGCTGATTTTATCTCCGTTTGGTTTAGTTTCTTCTTGACAGCTACAGGTGCTCTCAGATAACTGCAAGGGGAAAGAAGATGCAAAGCATCTTATGAAATACAGTGTTCTGTAGTGATTCATGCTCAATGAAACTACCTGGAAAATAGATTCTGTTTGTTGCTTTTAAAAGTGTAAATATATTAAATATTTTGTAAGTGTGTTTCTTCAGCTGTCAGAAATTAGTCGTAAATGCATGAAACTAATTTTATCCTTCTTTCAGTTCCCACAAAGTTAAAATCAATGCTAATTTAAATCAAGTAGGGGAAGAAATATTTTAAATCTTTCACAATTGTAATTTTTACCAAAGTACATCAGTTTCCCAGTGAAAAAGATGGGAAACATCCTTGCAGAGTACACATTTCTTCCTAAAACAACTGCTGGGGTTTAAATGAAAATCTCTTTAAAAGTTTTAAGTCATTCATCCAAATCCCACTTTTTCACCTTTTCTGGGTTAATGGTATCCTTTTGCTTCAATAATCCGGGACTTCAGCGCCAGGTGATGCAGCTGGTGGAAGAGTTAAACAAAAACATGGTTCTAAAATGCCTCAACTCAGTCTGATACTGATACAAAGTCAGAAAAATAAAGAAGCTAAACACTGACCTAGGATCAAGTTCATTAGTTTTTAGTTCAGAAATATTACAAGTCCTATTTGGTGAGTTTTTAAAATGTATTTAGAATAACTTCTTGCAGAACTTCTAATTAGTTCAGAAAGGTCTTTCACTCCTCTGCTTTTACAGATACTGTATATCTACTTAAAGTTTCATGATGCTTAGTCTGGATCAGAAGTAAAACCAGATAAAATAATCTCTTGTTTCAAGGCACATTTCTGCAGAATGATGGAGGACAAGTTCCCTGTGCATGGAGGCAGAGCATGGCACGGCATTCTCAAATAGAAAGCACCACCGGCACACTTTCCACATTTAGTTTACAAAGAGAGCATTCGTGAAAAGTAATGCGTGTACAGGGATACAGACTGCAAAGAAAACCAGGCATTTCTCCTCAGCTCGTTAACACCCCCCCTTCAGCCAAACACAGCGTTATGCATTTTTCAGGGACAGGGATTGAGAAGTATGTCAGGGTAGAGCGAACTATCCATGTAGGGCAATATAAAACAGTTCTTGGTGAAAAACTTTGTTTGGGGATCAAGGAGGCAAAGCAAGACAAACTGAAAAGTGAAAGTTCTTCCATGACTGCTTGTATGGACGTGAACTATTCAGAGCATCTCTAGAGACTGGAAAATAGCGTGCAATGATTTTCTCCATCCAACATGGCTGGCTTTGAAAGTCTGTGTCAAAAAGAATGAGAGAAACTCACTGGGAATATTGGAAACTGCACTTGCTGTCAGAACGGCCAGCACGCCGGTGTTGATGAGCCCCTTCCTGGTCATGAAGCGGAGCACCCGGTCTAGCTCCTGCACGCAGCGCACACGCACCAGCCCCCGAACCACGATGTGCTGCGCACACCTCTGAGCCGTCAGCACCTCCTGCTCAGACAATTACAAAAAAATAAACAGAATTTATGCGATTTGTTTTACAATGAACACGAGTCAGGGAAAAAAACTGAGCTGATTTTAAGATGAAGAGACTTCAAAAGGGCTGAAATCAGCACAAAAAAGGAGAAAATGTGGCTTTAGGTGGAACAAAGAGGGTCACCATTCACCTTCAGACGCTCTAAAACTAAAAAGCAGGTTAGAATGAACCGGCATGCTGGACTCAGACCTGCATCAGCAGCTTTTTAGCATCTGAAAAACACCAGAAGAACTCCAGCTGAAACAGTTGCTCACTGGGCTCTGATCCGACTCTTATCCAGCTGCAGATTTAGTTAGTTAGTTAGTTTTATGCCCCTAAAATCTGGATCAGTCTTCCTGAAGAGGAGAGACAGAACTCAGCTCTGAATGTTTAAATCCAGGCTTAAAACGTCTGTTTATCTGTGATCTGAAGGCTGGAAATCTTTAGTCTCTTCACTTTTAATTTATATTCCATTGATTTGCTTAATGTTGTTCAGCTTCTTCTCAATTTCCTGATTTAAACGTTTAATGAGGTTTTCCTCTTAAATGTCATGAGTACAGCACTGCTACTCAGATAAATCTGACTGGCCCTGAAGGTTGCTGCAGGCTTACCGTGCACTTCCTGTGCCAGGATGCCAGGATCAGGTTACGCAGGGCCAGGTACATGGTGGGGTCGCGGGAAAACTCTGGGAACTCGTAAAGCTCGTCCAGCTCCATCATGTCCGGCCGCACGCACAGGGCCTTGCCGCACTCGTTGGGCTGGTAGAAGGGCTGGAAGTATGGGCACAGGCCTGGAACTGAGGGCATAGCCACTGTTAGCCACAGTTAGTCACAGTCAGCTGGTTAGCTACAGTTAGCCATTTAGCCACAGTTAGTCACAGTAAGCTGTTTAGCCACAGTTAGCCAGTCAGCCACAGTTAGCCTCAGTCAGCCTAAGGGTCCTGCTCCCACCGGCTATGTGCTCTTACTCTGCGGCTGCACGGCTCTGCAGGGATCCGCCCTCAGCTCAGCCAGCGACACGCTGCCGGGCGAGCCAGATGGACTCATCCCCACGCAGTCCGGGTAGTAGGCGGCCAGGAAGGGGCTGGCCGGGCTCTCCTTCAGCAGCGGTGGCAGAATCAGCATCGAATGCCACCAGCTGTCCGTCACCTCGGACACTCTCTGCGGGGACGACACAGGAAGCAGATCAGGGGAGGCTCTG